TCCTCTCCCACACCCCCCTAGGGTTCCCTCCACCCAAATCCGAGCCCAATCCAATCCAATCCAGCCGGCGACGGGATGGAGGGGGCGCCGCGGCTGACGGCGGGGGCGGTGAGGGAGATATGGGAGCTGCCGGACGGGCCGGGGACCATCCAGCCGGTGCTGCAGGTGGCGGACCTGCGCGCCGTCACCACCAAGAACCCCGTCGGCCACCAGTCGGAGCGCTACCGCATGCTGCTCTCCGACGGCGTCCACTCCCAGCAGTCCATGCTCTCCACCAACCACAACCACCTCGTCAAGACCGGCGCCCTCCGCCAGGGCTCCATCGTCCACCTCCAGGACATCACCTGCAACACCATCCAGAACCGCAGGTCCGTCTTCCCCCCTCCTCCCCCCGAGAAAGGTTGGATCTTGCTCCGCTTGCTTCGGTTCGATTCTTGCTCATCCAAGATGGGATCTTGCGGTAGATTCTTGGGTTCTACAGTGGATTGTTTGCGCACGATGGGGGTTTCAGAGTTGCTTGTCTTGCAACTTCTGAATCAAGATTTAGGGATTTCATCAAATCTACACTCTCCGCCGTAATGATCTCTAAGACCACATTTACAGCCCACACCAATGTTTACAATGATAAGTTGGGTTTAATCTAAAGCGTCAAGCAATGCACTGGCCCTGAAGTCCAGCTTCAGTTGACTGTATTTTTTAGGTAGCAGAACATATATGCCACTGCTGATTCAGTTTTGAGCGTTCATTCAGTACCAGCAGAGTAAGTTATCTCTGGTGTGGTCTGCATACCGATGAAGAAAATGAGGGGAGTGTCTGATTCCGTGTTATTCAGATGAATGTTTTTAACTTTTCATGTTTGCTGGTGCGCGCAGAATTAGTCTGCGAGCTGCAGTCTCGCTCTTCCGTGGCCTGTAAAAACAATTCGGTTTCCTATCCCACCGTGATTGGACATGCCGCTGTCTTTTTGCGAGTGTACTCTGACCCAATGAAATGCACTTTGCTTTTCATGTCTTCCCAATTAACAAGTGCCAGTGCCAAGAAAGCCACAGGCTCCTAGTATGTGATACACAACTTTTTTAAGAACTACCCTTGCTGTGTTAGGATTTTATCAGCCCATGCGTGTCATGTTTTTAAGTTTTGCTTGGTGCAGTAAAAAGGGTGTTGTATTTTGTGTCAATGCTGCTGCTAAAGCAAAATAGAACCAATGAAACAGTTTACATCATGTGTTGTCATGATCTGAGCTGGTGTAGGATTTCCGTAACCTGTCGTTACCAAACACGCCATAAGTGTTTGGAACCTTTTTTGTTCTTGTGTCCGTGAGTAAACATGCATAATTCCAGAATATAGCAAGTAGAATGGGCAGGCTGGATTTTATAAATTCTAAAGGTGTGTCTAGTTATATTCTGCAATCACTTCTTGAAATTGCTTTTTTTTTGGTAACTACTCCTTCCGTATCAAAATATAAGACATTTTTTTGACATTGTCACAGTGGTAAAAAACGTCTTGTATTAAGTTACAGAGGTAGTACCATTGTACGACCTGACTTTGTTTCTATATATAAAACTAAAATCCTATGGTATAACTAACAGATATCTTTCAGGGAACTTCCGGTAGCTGACAATTTTTCTCTGTTGCATTCAGGATCATTATTGTTGTCGAACTTGATGTTCTGCTAAGTGAGTGTGATTTGATCGGGAAGCCAAAGATTTATGACAAGAGCTTACCTGCGGGACAGGTGCCTAACTTACCAGCCAGTGCTGCTCAAGTAAATAGTGGAAACCATTCCAATGGTCCAGGCATGCTTGGCAATGGTGTAGCCCCAAGGGTGGAGCAGAGTACTAACAATCCGTCGTATGGTGGACCCTACAATGGTGTTCACAGCCCAGCGGACCCTTCTATTGGCCGGACACTCCAACCTGGACCTAACAATGTGTCGTCTGGTGGATCTTATGGTACAATGCCAGCACAGAACACAATGAATGGCGGCAATATGGCGCAGCCAAACTCTCAGCGGCCTTACAATGGTGTTCACAGCCCAGTGGGCCCTTCTATTGGTCGGACAGTCCAACCTGGACCTAACAATGTGTCGCCTGGTGGATCTTATGGTGCAATGTCAGCGCAGAACACAATGAATGGCAATATGGTGCAGCCAAACTCCCAGCGTCCTTTAGTGAACTCTCATCAAAACCTAAGATTTGCAGTTCCTGGCGCAGGTGGGGGCATAAGCCCCCCTGGCAATGTTTATGGGCGACCCGCTCAG